GGTACAGCATAGTTATATAATAAAATGATAGAATTAATTTTTGAAGGTGTACTGTATGTGTCCTACTCTTCTGCATCTGGGACACTGTAGAGAAGCTCTTGGTCTGTCAAGAAAGCCCTGATTATCCTTCAAGTACTGATACTGACAACCCATGGTTAGGAGGACGTCTGTCTTTAAATATTACCAGAGGTTCAACTGAGCTATATTCAGTGCTGTTCCATTAGTTTTTTGAGATTACAGCTGTTTTGGGTATCAGATTTTAACTGTCTCTGCCACATATGATGTTAATGGATGATCATCTTTTGTCCTTGGGTTGTCATGTTCATGTCTTATGTCCAGTCTGGTCTGCTACCTAAAACTGAGTTATCTTCATGCCATTTTCTTTCAGTTGACTTGCCCAAGATGAGGCATATATTTATTTATTTTTTTGAGTTGGGAGTCCTGCTTTGTCCCCCAGGCTGGACTGCAGTGGCACGATTTTGTCTCACTGTAACCTATGCCTCCCAGGTTCAAGCGATTCTTGAACTTCAGCCTCCTGAGTAGCTGGGATTACAGGGGCATGTACCATGTTGCCTGGCTAATTTTTGTATTTTTAGTAGAGACGGGGTTTCACTGGCCAGGCTGGTCTTGAATTCCTAACTTCAGGTCATCACCTGCCTTGGCCTTCCAAAGTGCTGGAATTGCAGATGTGAGCCACTGTGCCCAGCCCCAGTGAGGCATTCTTTAGCTTTGGGAAAGGGAATCATTTGAAATTGAAATAGGAGAGCCGGCTACCTGTGTTTTGACTTCCTGCTGTTTCTGTTCTTTTTTTTCAGACAGGGTCTGGTTCTGTTGCCCAGGCTGGAGTACAGTGGCACCATCATAGCTCACTGCAGCCTTCAACTCCTGGGCTCAAGCAGTCCTCCCAAGTTGGCCTCCCAAAGTGCTGAAATTACAGGCATGAACCACCACATCCAGCCCCTGCTGCAGCTTAAAAATTCACAGTCAACTTTTAAAATTATTTTTATTAAAGTACAGCATAGAAGAATACATATATCATAAATGTACAGGTCCATGTTTTAGTCTAACGGCCAAGAAAGTAGAACATGATACCAACTCCCAAGAAGTCATTTGCAAACTTCCCTAAGGTAACCACCGATCTCACTTTGGACACCATGGATTTTGTCCCCAACATAAAACTTCATAAAAATGCAATCATACAATTTATCTTCATTGTGATTGGCTTTTTTGCTCTGTGTTGAGGTATCCTTGATGATATGTGGCCGTAGTTCATTTGCTGTCATTGGGTGTAATCTATTAAATGAATATATTACAGTTCATTCTATAGTTGAGGGACATTTGAGTTTTCAGTTTTTGGCTAATACAAGTAATACTGGTTTGAATGTTCTTGAATGTATTTTTGATGTATTTGTTGTGGACATGTAATTTGTCATGTAATCTGGTAAATAGTTGAATTGTTGGGTCATAGGGTAAGCACATGTTAGGCTTCTGTTGCAAAATACTTTTCCAAAATGTACTGATTTATTTATACTTGTACCCACAGGGTATGTGATTTCCAGTTGCTCTGCATCCTCTGCAACACTCTTAACAGTCTTAAATTGAACCATTCAGTACATTTGTCACTGGTTTTAATTTAAAATTACCTGAGTATTAGTGAAGATGAGCACTTTTTCCTGTGTTGTTTGCCATTTAAGTGAAAACAATTTCAATTTTGTGAAATTCTTGTTTAAATTTCTTGGCCATTTTTCAGTTGGGTTGTGTTTCTTGGTGGTATGTAGACATTTATGAATTCTGGATTTGAGCTGTGTTGGTTGTGTTGCAAATTTTCTCTTTTTATTCTGCTAATGATAGTTCAGTATATGGTGCCCCTTTAAAAAAAATGGTTAGGTCTTTTTGTGTCCCACTTAGGTAATCTTTTCCAGTTGAACAACACTTGATTTCTCATTGTCTTTTTGGTAGTTTAATTGCATGTGGTCACAGAATACAACTTGGTAAGATTTAAATTTTTTGAAATATGTTGACTTTCTTTATGGCCCAGCATAGATAGTCTAATTTAGTAAAGGCACTTAAAAATAATGCTTATTCTGTAGTTGTTGGGTTTGGTGGTCTGTGTATGCTCAGTTAGGTCATATGTTTATTGTTAATATCTTTTCTATTTTTACTAATTCATTTTTGCCCATTTAGTCTGTCAGTTTCTCTGAGATAAATGTATTACATTGTTTATAATAGCCAAAAGGTAGAAACAACCCAAATGCCCATCACCTGATGAGTGGATAAACAAAATAGGTTGTATATCCATACAGTGGAAATACTATTCGGCCATAGAAAGGGATGAGGTAGTGACACATGCTATGACGTACATTAATCTTGAAAACATGCCAAGGATAAGAAGCTAGTCTCAAAGACCATATGTTATTACATTTATATGAAATATTAGTATAGAGACAAAGTATAAATTACTGATTTCTTATTGTTGGAAGTGATGAGGCACAGGGAGGTAATAGCTAAAGGGTATAGGTTTTAATGAAAATGTTCTGAAATTGACTGTAACACATATCTGTGAATACTCCAGAAACCATTGAATTTTATACTTTAAATGAGTGAATTACGTGGTGTGAGTTCTGTCTCCGTAAAGCTTAAAAGATCCTGTTGTTTTTGTGGCTATTTGAAAAGATGTAAGAATAGATGCATGTCTTTAATCTCATCTTACCTTCAAATCCTAAAATATGATAAAATGCTACATAATTGTAAGTTCAATAATTAAGTCATTTATTTCAGAATAATAAGGGATATCAGAGATTTTGGAAAGGATTTCTGAGTTTAAGGTTAAGAAACACAAATCTAGATTAACCCTCTCATTTTACATAAGTTAGTCTGTATTTTTTTTTTTTTTTTAAGGTTTGTCTGTGAAGGCAAATTTAGGTTTGAATCTTAACTACTAGTTTATTAGCTGTGTCACTTTGGGGAAGGGAGACATCTGTAACCTCTTTTTCTACATCCGAGATAGGATTAAAAACTGTCTTCCTCACAAAATTGTTGAGTACTTTTAGCCACCATTTATTGACTACTGCCTATATACCTGATGTTTGTGTTTATATACATTTAAGCCTTACAAACCATTGTTCTGCCATCCATAATATTATTTTGGATAGCTACCAAAGGGAAAAATGAGATGTCTAATAATGGGAGGATAGTTAAATTTGACCCGTTCCTAGATACAGAATATTATGCAAATGGTGTTCTACAAAGATTTTCTCTTAGTTACTTGGAAATTTCTTGCCTTAGATAAAAGGATTATATATCATGTGATTTCAAATAGTGGAAAGAAAATGCAGATGGAAAGTTTCAAAATATTTACTGAAGTACAATTTTGTGTTACTTTTATTTTTTTATTTTTTTGTATTTTTCAAAATGTTAGCAATGTGTATGGGAGTTGACAAAGGTAAAATAGATTTTTAAAAAATCAGTTGTTTACATTAGCTGTTGTAACTTGATTATGGAAAATTTTATTCATACACAAATGTAGAGTGTTATAAACTTTCATGCACCTATCTCTGATTTTCAACAATGATATATAGCTTATGTTTTTTATATATGCCTTCCCTTCTTTGTCCCCACAAGATTTTTAAAATCTCAGACATTCTATTGTCTTTCCATTTATTGTGACCATTAGAACAATGCCCCTATATATTTCCAAAACACCTTCTTGGCAGCAGTGCCCTCATCTGTTGAGACCCATTGCTGTGCGGCAGTAGGAAAGAGTGGTTTGAAGATGTGATTCTTTTATAAATTTGGACTGACTGCCTGAGCCAGTCTTTTAATGTGGATTCCTGGGCCCACTCTGAAGTTTTCCTATTTGGACAGTCTGGTAAAGCCTAAGCATACTGGTGATTTTGGTAAAAATCTGAGAAATAGTAGAAGTAAATTTTTCTTTATAGCATGATACTCTTTTCTCTTGTCTGGTTTTACATGTCTGGTCCCTGGAAAGCCTTTCTTCAGGTTTTATCGGCTACTTTGTAGTCTTTCTTTAGTCTTCACTTAATGGAAAGCCTTCTGTAACTGCCCTCTATACTTCCTTTGGACTTCATGGTTTTACTTGACTCTCATGGGACTGTTCACCTTCAGGGAAAGAGTTGTGTCTTTTATCTTTGATTTTCCATAGTACTGCTTGTTAATAAATATTGAATAAAATAAGTGGGAAGGATGGTTAGTATAATACAGATTAAATATACCTTATCCAGAACACTTGGGACCAGAAGTGTCTCACATTTCAGATTTTTTTTTAAAAATTTTGGAATATTTGCATTATGTACTTACTGGTTCAGCATTCCTAATTTCAAAATCCGAAGTTTGAAATGCTCCAATGAGCATTTCCTTAGAGTGTCCTTGATACTCAAAAAGTTTTGGATTTTAGTCAGTTCAGATTTTGGGTATTTGCATTAGAGATACTCCCCCCGCCCACCGTCTTAGGCCAAGAGTATGAGGTTGGCAACTAGAAAGAAAGGAGCAGGACTGAAGATAGAAGTCTGAGGAATAAATTATTTTGGACATGTAAGAGCTAATTGTGGCTTGGTCTCATTGACATAAAAAGAGTAAGGATATTGTTAGGCCTTAGCAGAGGATCAAATATAGGATATGTGCACCTGTAATAAGACCTTTGTGTTAAAGAAGAAGTGATACTTATTTCTTACTAAGATCAAGATATTGACAAAAAGGATGCATCTTTATATTGTTTGAATTGGGGATTTTTTGTTTTATTTTGTTTTTAGGGACAGGATCTTGCTCTGTCACCCAGGCTGGAGTGCCATTGTGATCATAGCTTACTGCAGCCTTGAACTCCTGGGCTCAGGCAGTTCTCCTGCCTCAGCCTCCGGGAACACTGTGATTACAGTGTTTGAATTGTAGTGTCTGTAGTAGGGGTCTCTTTAAGGTACTTCTAGAAACTAGACGAGGGGGCTGTGCAAACAACTGTAATACATACTCATTTTATTTTTATTTAGTTTAAGGAAGAAATCTCTAAACGTTTTAAATCACATACTGACCAACTTGTGTTGATATTTGCTGGAAAAATTTTGAAAGATCAAGATACCTTGAGTCAGCATGGGATTCATGATGGACTTACTGTTCACCTTGTCATCAAAACACAAAACAGGTATGGTTTTGGAAGATGTACAGCTTTAAAGTGTGGATAAATGTTCATACTTCTAAAAATAACTAGTGTTGGCTGTAAGTGACTTTCCCGGTCATTAATATTTGAATAGTTAAAATTCATTCTTTGCTGTCAATAACATAATCTTTTAAAAAAGAAGTGATTGGATGTTAATGTCTACGTAATTGTCAGATAATCATTTAACATTTTACAAGGTTCATTGGTATTTAGTTATTATATCTAAATTATTTGCATTAGAACAGCACGTTTTTAGCTTTTCTTTTAGGTTTAAGGAAATTTTTAGACAACGATCGTGAGTGACTTATCTCCTTAGCAAACCACAAATTGATTAATCATATTTCATCACATGTAAGGAATTTTTTTGTTTTTTAAAGAGACAGAGTCATGCCATGTTGCCAAGGCTGGGCTCAAGTGATGCTCCCATGTCAGCCTAGGATTGTAGGTGCATGCCACAGTGTCCAACTGGCATCATCAGTTTTAAAGAAATACCTTTGTGTATCACTAAGAAAGAATGCCGCTAACTGAATTGATGTTTTCTTGTCACTTAAAATGTTTATTTTATACTTACTGAATGAGCTCCTTCAGGACTTAAACTTGGGTATTGAATTTTATCATAGCACTCTTGCATAACATACAAAGACTTAGTTGTCAGTGTCCATATTTTTTTATACAGTATCAAACTCTGTTCTATCAAGAGTGCTGGTGGTGTAGCATTTCTTAAAAGAGCTCTCCAGTATTTTCTCCAGGATTTTCTTCCAAGCCATTAACACTCATTTTGTTTCGTTTTTATGCTGGTTTTCACCAACAACAGATACTTGCTTTACTGATTGAAAATAGTTCTTCTCTTTCTGTGCTATTCTGAATACTTGATAACTTCTCTCAGTGCCAATTAATGGTGTAATGTTTATGAAGACACTTAATGTGGTAATTAAGCCCATCATGTATGATAGAACAATGTACCCAGGCATTCATTTGAAGTCATGTAGACTATGTGCAGGCATATAGTTGATGCCTCAGCAATTATAAGACACATCCTGATTTCAGAGATGTTAAAATGGAAAATGTATGCCTTAGCTAAATTCAGGGAAGGAAACAATGAGTGAGGTTCAAAACTCTTACCTGGTATATGGAAGGGTTTTTTATTTCCTTTTTTTTTTTGAGATGGAATTTTGTTCTTGTTTCCCAGGCTCGAGTGCAGTGGTGCGATCTCAGCTTGCTGCAACCTCTGCTTCTGGGTTAAAGTGATTCTCCGCCTCAGCCTCCTGAGTAGCTGGGATTACAGGCATGCATTACCACACCCAGCCTAATTTTTTATTTTTATTAGACATGGGGTTTCACTATGTTGGCCAGGCTGGTCACGAACTCCTGACCTCAGGTGATCCACCCACCTTGGCCTCCCAAAGTGCTGGGATTACAGGTGTGAGGCACTTTGCCTGGCCTGTTTCCTTTTAGAGGTAAGTAATAATCAGGCCAGGTGCGGTGGCTCATGCCTGTAATCTGAGCACTTTGGGAGGCCGGGGCCGGCGGATCACCTGAGGTCAGGAGTTTCAGAGCAGCCTGGTCAACATGGTAAAATAACATCTCTACTAAAAATACGAAACAGCCCGGTGCAGTGGCACATGCCTGTAGTCCCACCTAGTTGGGATGTTGAGGCAGGAGAATCGCTTTCACCCAGAGGCAGAGGTTATAGTGAGCCAAGATCACACGCAACAGCAAGACTCTGTCTTAAAAAAAAAAAAAAAAAAGTAATAATTATTATTCATATTGATTTGTTGGCCTTCTTTTGGCTTTGTATTGTTTTCAAGAATTTCAAGAATATGAGTAAAACTGGCTCATAACCCTTAAGAACTAGAAGGGGATAGATTAAAAAAAAAAGCTATTTTTTTTTTCCCTTGAGACAGAGTTTTGCTCTGTCACCCAGGATGGAGTGCAGTGGCGTAATCTTGGCTCACTGTAACCTCTGCCTCTGGGTTCAAGCGATTCTCCTGTCTCAGCCTCCCAAGTAGCTGGGACTACAGGCATGTGCCACTGTACCCAGGCTATTTTTTGTATTTTTAGTAGAGATGGTGTTTCACCATGTTGACCAGGCTGCTCTGGAACTTTTGACCTCAGATGATCCGCCTGCCTCGGCCTCCCAAAGTGCTCAGATTACAGGCACGAACCATCGTGCCAGCCAAGATAAAAAAGTTTTTTACATAGTCAAGCTTTGTCAGTATAACTGGTCATTGACTTTCCTCTTTTGAGGTCTCCCTCTCTTACATAAGCAATATGATTGAAACTAATGAAAAATTTATATATGTTATACTCAAAGAGAGGGGCAGTTGCAGCATATTTTGTATTTTGTAGGATTTTATTGTATTTTATTTTGTATTTTTTTCCCTAACGCTTAGTTTTCTCCGGCTTTTTACTAAATGATTATTCGAGTTGGTCTGAGAGTTTACTCTTTATTTCTAGATGTCAGGATTTCAGTGGTTCTTTTAAAAATAATCAGTTCTACTGCTTACTCTGTGATTAATTATTTTCCCTAGGCCACAGGATCATTCGGCTCAGCAAACAAATACCACAGGAAGCAATGTTACTACATCATCTGCTCCTAATAGTAACTCCACATCTGGTTCTGCTACTAGCAACCCTTTTGCTTTAGGTAAGTGTCTTCAGTCATTCCAATAAGGGATGAGAAAACGTATTTCTTTCCCTTCCTGGGTAGTTTCAGATAAAATGAAAAAATAAATTATGTCACTTTAACAACAAAAATTTAAAAAAATAACTTACATAGTCCTATAACTGTAGCTATTAAGGAAGTAGTTTGGGATGTGGATGTTCTTACATTTAATAAGTGGTCAGTAATTGGCACCTTTCTTTTTAATAATGAAAGAGATGTAGAGTTTGTATACCTGATCTGACTACCACATAATTTAGTATGAGTAAGATTAGCTAATTATTAATCATAATCCAGCATCCTTGAATACTAATTTTCTCATTTTAAAAGGAAGGATCAGACTGTATTAGTTACTTTGTAACTGTCCTGAACACATGGAAGGGCTGGGGTCTGGTAAGCCAGCCCAGCTTAAAACTGCTTTTGCTTTTCTTATATTAATTTTTTTTTTTTAAAGAGATGCAGGATCTTGCTCAGACACTGAGGCTGAAGTATAGTAGTGCCATCATAGCTCACTGCAACCTCAAACTCCTGGCTCTTGGTGTCCCTAAATGCTGGGATCACAGATGTGAGCCACTGTGCCTGGCCTATGTTAGATTTATATATTGAGGTTCTGTGGAAAATTTTTTTGAGAATAAAAATATTCTGAAGCTTAATAGAAGTTGAACTAGATAGATAAATGCTCAGTGCCTCTTTTGATTCTTGTATGACTAGTATAGCATTTTGAAATGGAGTATTTTATGTGCACAGTTTTTACATATCAAGGATCATACCTTTTATCCCTCCCATAAGACTGATTCAGTCGTGCTATGCCAAATATATGTTAGAGACATTTAAGGCGTGGCATAGCTTGACTTAGGCTCACATTCACTGTTTTTTAGTTTTATTTTCAATGTTTCCTGCTCTTGTTTTCTAAAAAGAATTTATGTTAAGTCTTTGGTTGAGGCAGGTGTGTTTTAGTTGTCAAAATTATTTACATGAACAATCTAGAGAAATTAGGATGAAATAATTTAGTGTTCAGACCTATGAAAGATATTGTTGAAATCTTAGAGGATTTTATTTTGTCGGAGGTTACACAACCCCCAAATCCCTTCATCTAGTCTCATTCCCACCCCTCCTTCTATTTCTGCAGCTTTCTCCATCAGTTAATCCCTTTATCCTATATTTTCAGCTTTTCTTTTCTGCTGGCTGGCCTTGTTAAGTCTGTCCCATTGTAAAAGGCACAGATTCCAACTACTACCTTTTTTTACTTCTTCCTCAGCTATCTGTTTTCTGTCTATATTTTCCTTTCAGTAAGTTCACTGAATTCTGTTTTTTGCATCCGTCACTTCACTAAAAATTCCTGGATAAGGTTGCCATTGACCTTTTAGCTTGCAAAATTTAGTGGACACCTTTTAGATTTTAAATCAGTCTGAATGTTTACAAATATACTTGAAAATTTCTTTCTTTAACTCCTATGATACTGTTTTTTTTTTTCTGATTACATTTCTGATGAATTTTTTCCTGTCTTATTTGTAGATTCCTTTTTTCCCTTTCTTATGTTCATATTATTCACCAGAGTTCTGCCTTGATTTTCTTTTCTTCTATTCTTTCTGAGTGACATTAACCTATTATTATATCCTGATGACTCGCAAATCTGTACCTCAGTCCACACCACTCCTGGATTCAACTCCTTGTATTCAACTCTCTTCGATGTTATCTGATGTTCTCTAAGTAATTCAGCCTGTGTCTCCTCTGGAAACAGAAAAACAAGAAAACCCATGCAAAACGATATTATCTTCTCTTAAAACTGCTGCCTTTCCTCCACTGAGTCTCTTCATCTATGACCTCTTCTCTATCCCACCCCATGTAATTAGTTCTCGTTGCCACTGCCTTGATGCAGGCCTTCAATTTTTTTCATCTCTAATGTTTCCATAGAGCTATTCGAATAACAGCTTATGTGACTGTTTTGCTTAAAATCCTGTTAAATCTCTTGAAATAAAGATTTAGCCCTTATCTATCTCTCCCTCGTCATTTCTTACCCATCTCAGTCAACAGTTATATTAGTCATGATACGCTATCCTTTGATGATAGCCAAGCTCAGTGGCTTATTACCACAAAGCTTCATTTCTTGCTGTTTTTCTGCATGCTACGTAATTTTCACTATTCTGTGAGGTGCCCATCCATATAGTCCCTCAGAGACTCAAGCTAATGAAAGTCATTTTTCATTCTGCTATCTTATAGCTCTATCACTTGGAACATGGCAGAAGAGACAGTTAAAGGGTCTTAAGTTGACCTGCTATACTTTGGCCAGAGTGGCACATATAATTTCTTGTAGTCCTTTAGCATTTTACATAGGCCTGTCCAAACACAAAAGAAATATTATAAGGCTGCATAATGAAATGTTTGGTGAGCACTGCCGTCTGCCATTCTAGTTAGTCATACTGAAGTTTTTGTGGTTTCAAGGATGCATTAATACATTTATCTTGTGCTTTTTATATATGGTGTTCATTGTGCCTAGTATTTAGTACCCCTCCCCTCCTAACCTTCTCCACTTTTCCTTGCCAACATATTCGTACTCCAAACTCATTGTCATCCCTTTTTCTGAAAGCCATTCCAAGTAGGTTATATTACCATAGTATCCTGTGAATATTCTTTACTGAATATTCTTAGGCATTTATTTTCTTGTCTGTCTTTCCCACTAGATTGAGTTCTGAGGATGTCTTTCTTGTTGCCTTATTCTCTATATGTATGTAGCACAGTCTCTGTCATATATAAAAGTACTCAGTAAGTGAGGAATAAATGCATTTGGTTGGTTATGTAATTTTACAAAGTAAACACTTCGTGATAAGCACTTAATCACTCTGTTGCTCCATTAGATTTCTCCTTGATTTAATTCTTCTAAGGAGAAATCTATTTCCAGGTATTCCCTGGCTTTTTCTCTCGTTGATTGGCAGTATCAGCCCTCTTGTACTCAGAGTTTGTAGGTGAATTCAACTTCCTGTTAATAAAACTTACTTGTGAAGAGATTATTAGAAGTATAGTCTGGTGTGTGTATTTATTATTCTTCCTTTAACTGGCATATTCTGGAGTGTTTTCTCTGACATCAGCCAATTGTCCAATACCAGTTCCATGTCCAATATTCAGTTTCATTTCTGATACTACCTACCTATAGTTAGTATCCAGTCTCACAGTTAGCAGACTCAATCCTGCAAGACTGCCCCTACTTCAGATACTAGTCACAAGTTCTAGGCCACCTGTACTTCCGATTGACCAGCTCTAAATTGGGGGTTTCCATGACTCCCTCCTCAGATTCAGTAATTTGCTAGAATGGCACCTAGAACTCAAGAAAACATGTTTACCTGTTTATTATAAAGGCTACAACTCAGAAACAGACACATGCTTGGAAGAGAATTATTAATGTGGAGGATGGAAGTTGGGCTTAAAGGTTCTAGGTCCCTTCAAGGCACAACCCTCCTAATATTCAGCTGTGCTTTTCATTCTGAATTTTCTTAATCTTACTATTCAAGAGTTTGCATAGAGCTCTACCTCTTGCTCCCTTCCCCTACTTTCTTGGTGGGGGGGGGGCTGAAAGTTTCAGCCCTTTAATCACTTTGTCTTTCTGGTGACCAGCCATTTCTGAGGCTATCCAGGGGCCAAAGTCACTTTATTAGCATAATGGTTAAAAGCCTTGTAGTGAATAATAAAAGATACTCTTGTCACTCAGAAAATTCCAAAGGTTTTAGTAACTGAGTAATCAAGGAGAAAGGCCAAATATGTTTGTATATTATACTATATGCATGAAAATAAATTTTGCCAATTTTATTACTTTAATAACCAAAGTGTAAATTTTTGACCAATTTCAGTTATAGGAATTAAATGTTAGTAATAATATTCTATTTGTTTTTAAATGATTTCTTGTAATAGACTATTGAGTCAACTAATACATTTTGCAACTTCATATTTTAGCATGTTCATGTTAATGATAAATTTTCTGACTTTGATTTGTATGGTTTTGCCCTTTATCCTCTTAGGTGGCCTTGGAGGACTTGCAGGTCTGAGTAGCTTGGGTTTAAATACTACCAACTTCTCTGAACTACAGAGCCAGATGCAGCGACAACTTTTGTCTAACCCTGAAATGATGGTCCAGATCATGGAAAATCCCTTTGTTCAGAGCATGCTCTCAAATCCAGACCTGATGAGACAATTAATTATGGCCAATCCACAAATGCAGCAGTTGATACAGAGAAATCCAGAGATTAGTCATATGCTGAATAATCCAGATATAATGAGACAAGTATGTGGAAAGTTCTTTCAGTTTGTTTAGCTAATATATTTGTTATTTAATTTTCTACGGGAAGAGATTGTCCTATATGTATGGTTAAGCTAAAGAGAGAAATACTGATCTTTGTTTAGGAAAACTTAGCACTAATTTGGCTATTTTGAACTCTGAATTTTCTGTTGCATTTGAAAGTTCTTTATAAATAGTTTATTTTAAAGGCTTAAGAATCAAAAAGTCCAATGCTGGAGATGGGAAATTTACTCGTAACAAAGTGCTTCTTTATGTTATTTGAATGCTCAGTTGCTTTTTTGAGGTGAAATATACCAGGAATTATTTAAAATAATCTCCTGACTTATATATTTAATACAAAATTACAACAGCTTTAAAGCTTTAATTGGTTTTTGTGATTCTAGAATCAGACAACACCTCATTTGATAAAATAGATGTTTCCATTAGCTGAGCCGAAGAGGTTGGCTTTATAGGCAGAAAATGGCTGAAGAAAGCAAACACTGGAACAAAAAGCTGATTGGTCATTTCACAGTTACTTTCCTTATAGGGTTAAAATTGAGGGAACTTTCTTATTATGGTGACTTATGTTGACTGCAGCTTACTATGGTTTTGAAGGGGAAACTGGCCCTTTTCATAGTTCACTTCGATTAAATGGCACTTAGCACACATGGCTCCATTTAAGTTTGGTCTGGTCTGCTGGGGCATAGTGCAGGAGGCTGGTCCAAAGCAGTGGCCTCCCATAAACTTTGTTTAATGGCAGTTAATAGGTAAAAGTAATTCATGTGTATTTCAGTGGCTTTTTTTTTCTTTTTTTCGGAAATCTTTTTCTTAGACATTGGAACTTGCAAGGAATCCAGCAATGATGCAGGAAATGATGAGAAACCAGGACCGAGCCTTGAGCAACTTAGAAAGTATTCCAGGGGGATATAATGCTTTAAGGCGCATGTACACAGATATTCAGGAACCAATGCTGAGTGCTGCGCAAGAGCAGGTAATCCACTGGCTCTAAGGTTCAGGCCGAGGGGTAGTTTCTGTTTTAACACAAATATGTGTGTGATTGAGGGTAGCTTTTATATGAGGAATGTGGTTTTCAGTTTTTAAAAAGTTTCGTATATGACTTAAAACAAAAGCTCATTCTTTGTGATTTGTGTGTCTTCTATTACAGTTTGGTGGTAATCCATTTGCTTCCTTGGTGAGCAATACATCTTCAGGTGAAGGTAGTCAACCTTCCCGTACAGAAAACAGAGATCCACTACCCAATCCATGGGCTCCACAGACTTCCCAGAGTTCATCAGCTTCCAGTGGCACTGTCAGCACTGTGGGTGGCACTACTGGTAGTGCTGCCAGTGGCACTGCTGGGCAGAGTACTACTATGCCAAATTTGGTACCTGGAGTAGGAGGTATGCTTATAACAACTCAGACTTTTTTCTTTGTTTTCCTCACTTACATAATTAAAACATTGATTATACTTTTATTCTTTGTGCTTTTTTGTGTATGTATGGTGAGTATGGTGAGTACCTTTTATACTGTCTTTTCCTGTTGCATTTTGTTGTTGTTTTGGGACAGAATTCCGCTCTTGTTGCCCAGACTGGAGTGCAGTGGTATGATCTGGGCTCACTGCAACCTCCGCCTCCCAGGTTCAAGCAATTCTCCTGCCTCAGCCTTCTGAGTAGCTGGGATTAAAGGCATGTGCCACATGCCTGTCTAATTTTGTATTTTAAGCAGAGTCGGGGTTTCTCCCTGTTGGTCAGGCTGGTCTTGAACTCTTGACCTCAGGTGATCCACCTGCCTCAGCCTCCCAAAGTGCTGGGATTACAGACATGAGCCACTGCACCTGGTCACATTTTGGTTTGTGACCAAAATGTGACCAAAGCTTCCACATAAAGGAAGCTTTAAATGTAGAGAGAACACTTAGTTACCTGTGTAGTTAGAACACGTTTGCTGGCTTTAGCCTGGTTTTTTATTTTAGATCAGTAGATTGTCAAACACCAGTCTTGAGGTCAAGGCTAAACTGGCTGCATCATAGCACCTGCCAGGTATATTAAAAATCAAGTCCCAGATCTTACCCTCAGACTTTGTGGAGCAGAATCTTTCATAGTGGGGTTAAGCTCTGTGTTTGTGTAAAGCAGGTTCTCACGTGTGAACAGGTTAGAAATTTACTTTTGTCCACTCTTCTGTAGACTGGACTCAGTAAATGTCTTCCTTTCAGCTATTCAGATACCACATGTCAGTGTTTTGTCCATGAATTAGGTCCAAGATCATTAGCCACAGTGACAGTTTTAGTCCTAATACTTGTCATATAAGTAGGAAAAAATGGAGGCATGGGAGCACTTACTTCCCTAAGATGAGACAGACTAGATATGTTTTAAAAGATTCCTGTACTTTGGCAGAGGAAGTGGAAAGATGAGGTTCTGGGACGAAGAATTTTTTAAAATTCATTGCTAAAAGAAGAATCAGAATGAGAAGAGTAATTAATGATCACAGTTACATATTCTTTTTAGAATACAATGGATATTTTGAGATTTATGCATATAATATAGGTTTTGTAAAAACTGAAGGAATAACATTTTCAAATCAATACAAATATTCTGTGTTCTGTTTAATCCTTACTTGATACTTACTAACAATCTTTTGAGAGGTTTGCATCATTCTTACTTTAAAGGATATAGAGCAGGCAAAGATTTAATCTTATTTCTTAACTGGTTAAGCTATTGTTTTCTTTCCCCTTGCAATGGTTGCCTACAGTAATAACTTATATCTAAAAATCCAAAAATCAGTTTTGCAACCTTTTACTCAGACGTTTAATTTAATGGTTTGATACTTTAACATTTCATGTTAATATTTCCATCAAGGGGAAACAAGAAATAGCAAGAATGTACTTACTCTGCTGGCCTATCATATTGCCAGCATATTTGTGCAGTATTGATTGTTACTCAGCTGTGACATTTGATACATATATGCACACATATACATGTAAAGATGAAATTCTTGACTCTTCTTTGGTCCTATAAGCACTTACTCTAGAATGTAATGAAGTGTTAGAGCAGGAGTTGACATATTTTTCATGTGAAGGGTCAGATAATACTTTAGATGTTGCTGGCCAAGAGGCAAAATAGAGAAAATTATATCAAGAGACAAATTTTCACACATTTTTTAATTGACAAAATAAAAAATTTGGTAATAGTTGCAATATTTTCCTCATATCTACTGATAAGAGGAATGGGACTTTGTTGAGGAGATAACATTTTGCTTAATTGGGGTTCAGTGTTCTGTTTACAAAAATTTGCAAAGTTCATCTGTTAATACTGTTAGGTAATGAGACTTGATTGACTTTATTCAAAATTTGTACTCATTCCAAAAGCATTTGATTTGATTTTAATAACATTTTCATCGGTTTGGAAGGCATTTATAGTTTTTAGCATGCCATTACTTTCAGATTAATCAGAGTGAAGGTTTAGTAGCTCCTCAGTTGCACAGTTAAGTGATTTTGAAATGTGAATTGCCTTTGCACTTGCAGTGAGGTCTGAAAAAATGTTGCTAGTAGTATGAGCTCAAAATTAAATCTGCAGATTTGTGGGAATGGAGGTCTTGTTTCTTATGATTCTTTTTTTTGACAGTACAGGAAGTATGTAAAGCAGCTTGACATTGCTTGTGAGTCAAACAATTTCAGTTGTCAAAGTGACTTTATTATAGTATGATCGCACATAAAAATTTGGTGATCACACATCAACATTTAAATCTTTGGCATGAGCTAATAAAATAATGCAGTGAAACTACCACTGCTAAGCCACCATCAATCTTCTATGTGGTTAGACAAGTCAGAATATTGAGCTATTGTTAATGAAAATTCATGAAGTTGACTATGGTTAAGTTCACAGGAGTGAACGATGCTTCTCATTAATACTCCTGGTTCAGTAACATGATAGATAAAAATACTTTCCAGAGTACCTACTGATGAATAAGACAGTGAATAACTATAGTCTTTAAATACCTTTCTTTTTTTATATGCTTTGAAAATTTATCCAACTAAATCCTTTTAATTCTACACATTTTTGCTGCCATGAGATGTAACATATCTTAGCAGATTCTACTTCAAGTTGTACCAGATTCTTCTCAACTTCTTTGAAAATAGTCTTGCCCTGGTTGTTCCATTCAGACTATTATTTATAGAGGCTAATTTTTCAGTCACTTCAGACTTACCATTGACTCTTCACACAACTAAGTAGTATCAGTAACATCTGTTGGCTTATCAAGAAGTATAAAACAGCACTCAAAATCATTTGTGTTGTTTTTAAATTGAATATTGATATCCTTAACTCTGAGGAAAACTGTTCTTCCTGAGAGCTTAGTAGACCTCAGCAAGTTTATTTTCTCCGGACACATTTGGTTACTGCAATCAAGATATAATTAACTATTAAATTAGTCACCACTAGTACTTGGCTTTCTCAGGCTAACAAGCCACTTGGAAACTTAACTTTGGCTGCAGTCTTATTTTCATTTTTATTTTTTGTGAAAAAGTGGCTATGATGAGATACTTAATTTTAAATTGGGTATTTTTTCTGACCATTGTTTTTCTGTGAGTGAGGAGTATTGTGATGAGTGGTTGGTCTGGCAATGCTTATATGTTGTATTCTTTTAGTGTCATTGCATAGGAAACACAAGTTTTGCCATCTCATTTAATAAAATATATTCCACTGTGCCTTAAAAACCTGACATTTGTGACTCCCCTTCTTCCTTTTTGCTTGTTTTGGCATGATTAGTATTAACTGGTTATTATTATTTTTAATGCTGCAGTGATTTTGTGTTGCATGAGTATAACTGATTCACTGTGTTTTGTAGTAGTATACTGAACAACAGTATGAAGGAGGCCAGGTGTGGCATGGTGGCTAACACTTGTTATCCCAGCACTTTGGGAGGCTAAGGTGGGTGATTGCTTGAGTCCAGGAGTTTGGGACCAGCCTCAGCAACATGGTAAAACCTCATCTCTACAAATAAGACAAAAAGTAGCCAGGCATGGTATGCAGCTGTAGTACAGCTGCTTGGGAAGCTGAGATGAGAGGATTACCTGCACTTAGGGAGGTTGAGGATTTAGTGAGCTGTGATGGCACCACTGCACTCCAGCCTGGGAGATGGAGTGAGACCCTATCTCAAAACAAATGACAGGATGCATGAGTGGCTATACTGTAGATAGTCTCTGTTGCAAGTACTCACTGCTTTTGTAAAAGCACAAAACACCCATAGATATTAAGTGAGAATGACTGCTCCAATAAAATGGTATTAATGGACACTGAAATCTGAATTTGAGATAGTTTTCACATTTCACAAAATATTTATCGTTGTTTTTTTCCCCTTAACCATTTAAAAATAAAAATATAAAAGCATGTTTTTTTTTAAAGACCTTGTCTCAATCTGTCACCCAGGCTGGAGTGCAGTTATGCGATCTTGGCTCACTGCAGCCTCTGCCTTCCAGGTTCCAGCAATTTTTGTGCCTCAGCCTCCAAAGTAGCTGGGATTACAGGCACCCACCACCAGACCTGGATAATTTTTTCGGTATTTTTTTCTTAGTAGAGACAGTGTTTCACTATTTCGTTGTCCAGGCTGGTCTTGAACTCCAGCCTTGGGTGATCTGCCTGCCTCGGCCTCCCAAAGTGCTGGGATTGCAAGTGTGAGCCACTGCACCCAGCCAAAAATTGTTTTGCTTTGTTTGAGACAGAGTCTGTTGCCCAGGCTGGAGTGCAGTGGTATGATCTTGACTCAATGTAACCTCCGTCTCCTGGGTTCAAATGATTCTTCCTTCTCAGCCTCCCCAGTAACTGGGATTACAGGGGTGCACCACCAAGCCCAGCTAATGTTTGTATTTTTAGTAGAGTGGGGTTTCACCATGTTGGCCAGGCTGGTCATGAACTCCTGACCTCAAATGATCCACCTGCCTCAGCCTCCCAAAATGCTGGGATTACAGGTTTGAAACACCATGCCTGGCCTTGAAACTTAAAAGCGATTTTAAACTAATTGGCTGAGCAGAAACATGTGGGCCAGGTTGGTCCTGCAGGCTGTAGTTTGCCAACCTGTCTTAGAATACAGACATACCTCATTTTGTTGTGCTTTACAGGTAGTGTGATTTTTACAGTTTGAAGGTTTGTGATGACCCTGCATTGAGCAAGTCTGTTGGTACCATTTTTCCAACAGCATGTGCCCACTTCATGTCTCTGTCACATTTTGATAATTCTCACGGTAGTTCAGTCTTTTTCATTATTATTCTGTTATGGTGATTCTGTGATCAGTGATCTTTGCTGTTACTTTAGTAATTGTGTATAGGAACCACCTTGTACCTGTTGAACTTAATCATTAAATGTGTGTGTTCTGACTGTTCAAGTACTGACTAGCTATTCCACTTGTCTCTCTTCCTTTCCTGGGGTCTCCCTGTTTTCCGAGATACAACATTGAAATTGGGTCAGTTAATAACTCTACAGTGGCTTTTAAGTATTCAAGTAAAAGAAGCTCTCACTTTAAATCAAAAGCTAGAAATGATTAAGTTTAGTTAGGGAGGCATATCAGAAACTATGATAGGCCAAAAAGCTAGGCCTCTTGCACCAAACAGCCAATTTGTGAATGCAAAGGAAAAGTTCTTGAAGAAAATTATAAATGCTACTCTAGTGAAGGCATGAATGATGAGGAAGTGAAACAACCTTATTGTTGATACGGGGAAAGTTGTAGTGATCTGGATAGACGATCAAACCAGCCGCACTGTTCCCATAAGCCAAAGCCTGATCCAGAGCAATTAAACTCTGTTTAATTCTGTGACAGCTCTGAGGTAAGGAATCTGCAGCAGTAAAGTTGAAAACTAGCTGAGGTTGACCAGCTTAGGTTTAGGGAAAGAAGCCATGTTTATTCCAAGGTGAGGCAGCAAGTTATCTAGATCATCAAGGAAGATCATCGAAGAAGGTGGCTACACTAAACAACCAATTTTTAATGTAGGTGAAAAACAGCCTTCTATTAGAGGAAGATATCACCAAAAATTTTATTTCTAGAGAGAAGTTTGTTGTTAGCTTCAGTGCTTCAAAGGAAAGGCTGAGTCTTTAGGGGCTAATGCATCTGGTGACTAAGTTGAAGCCAGTCCTCATTATTATTACAATAATCCTAGGGCCTTAAAACTTATGCTAGATTTGTTCTGCCTGTGCTCTAAACATAGCAGGGAAAAATAAACCAGGATGATAGCACATCTGTTTACAGCATAGTTTACTGAATGTTTTAAGTCCACTGGTGAGACACGCTGCTTAGGAAAAGATTTTTTTCAAAATATTACTGATCATTGACAATGCATGTAGTCACCCAAGAGCTTTGATGGAGAAGTACAAGGAGATTAATGTTTATGCCTGCTAACACAACCTTCATTCTGCATGCAGCCCATGGATCAAAGAGCAATTTCAACTTTTAAGTCTTCTTTAAGAAATACATTTCATAAGGCTTATAGCTGCCTTAGATAGTGAGTCCTCTAATGGATTTGGGCAAAGTATATTGAAAACCTTCTAGAAAAGATTCACCATTCTCAATGCCATTAAGAACATTCCTAATTCATGGAGAGGATGTCAGAATGTCAACATGAACAGGAGTTTGGAAGTTTATTCTATCCCTCATGGATGCCTTTGAGTGGTTCAAGACTTCCGTGGAGGAAGAAACTGTAGAAGTGGTGGAAATGGCAAGAGAACTAGAATGTAAAATGGAGCCTGCTAGGCATGTTGGCTCATACCTGTAATCCCAGTACTTTTGGGTGGCTCAGACAGGAGGATCCCTTGAGCCTAGGAATTGGAGGCAGCAGTAAGCTCTGTTCATGCCACTGTCTTCACTCCAGCCTGGGTGACAAAAGTGAGACTCCATCTCATTTTAAAAAGAAAAAAAGGGGTGGAGCCTGAACACTGCATTGCTACGATGTCAGGAAAAAACTTGAACAGATGAGGAGTTGCTTCTTATAGATGAGCAAAGAGCGGTTTCTTGAGATAGAGTCTACTCTAAGTGAAGATGCTGTGAACATTGTTGAAATAACAGCAAATAATTTAGAATGTTATGTAATCTTAGTTGATAAAGCAGTGGCAGGGTTTGAGATGGTTGACTTCAATTTTGGAAGTTCTGCCATGGTAAATGCAATCAAACAGCATTGAGTGCAACAAAGTTTTCCTGATGTGGCAAAGTTCATTGTTGTCTTATTTTAAGAAATTGCCATAGCCACCCCAACCTTTAGCAACCACCAGCTGACTCACTGTTAGCAACTTTGGGCAATAAAGTATTTTTAAGTTTATGTGCAGAGTTTTTTGGAAGGCTGTGGCATACTTAATAGACCATAGATAGTATCATGTAAACAACTTTCGTATGCTGTGGGAAACCAAAAAATGTGTTTGACTTGCTTTATTATACACTGGTCTGGAACCAAACCCGTGGTGTCTCCAAGGTTGGGCTCTAGGATGTGAAAAACACTAAATTAAACTTTTACAACATGAGAAAATAGGAAAAACAAGGACTATTAAAAATAGTAGTAGTATAATAAAGTAGAAAAGTGAGAAGAATCTTTTTTTTTTTTTTGTGACGGAGTTTGCTCTTGTTACCCAGGGTGGAGCGCGATGGTGCGATCTCAGCTCACTACAACCTCCGCCTCCTGTGTTCAAGCGATTTTCCTACCTCAGCCTCCCGAGTAGCTGGGATTATAGGTGCCTGCCACCACACTTTGCTAATTTTTTGTAGTTTTAGTAGAGATGAAGTTTCGCCATGTTGGTCAGGCTGGTCTTGAACTCCTGACCTCAGTTGATCCACCCCCTCACCCTCCCAAAGTGCTGGGATTACAGATACAGCCACTTCTCCTGGCCAAGAGTCAGATGTCTTAAGCCTGATACAACTACACTGGATGGAAGAGCAGAAGGGAGATGAAAAACCTAATGAGTTGCCTTGGCATAGTAAGTTTGAGAATATATTTGAGTTTGAGTGTATCTACTTGGCAGTTGAAAATCTAGGTGTAAGTCAAGCAAATTAACTTAGTTTTCAAAGAAAATTTGCCTAAATATACAGTTGTCATCACATATGGAATTCATGTAAATTCAGCTGTAGCCCTTGACAAAAAAGGAAAAACAATAATCATAACAAGTACTTTATACATCAATTTCTTATGGCCACCCTATGAAGTAGATACTGCTTTCTCCATTTTACAGATGGGGAACCTGAAATATGAAGACGCTAAATAACTTGCCCAAGATCACATGGTTAGGTTAGATTTGAACTCAGGTAATCAGGCTCCTCATACTGCTTCGAGTTGCTGTGCTCTATGGTTTCAAATGTTAAATGTGCCTACCATTTTACTTAGTGAGTGCCAGTACTCAGTGAAAATGGCTGGAGGCATTACATATTTTGTTCCCTTGGGCGTGAAGGCTTCCTTCTTTTATAAGGCTGAGCAATATTGAGTGCAGAATATGATTCTAATTAATCTTTTGCAGTCCTAGAGAAAAAGTTGGCTCAGTCTTTTTTACTTTATGGAATTTTTCAGCAGTAATTTTGACCATATCTGATTTTTGCCTTAAATTGACTTTAGAAGCTAGTCCTTCATGAGACAAGATTTTACCGTAAATGCAACCAGAATGTTTAAACTCGTGTCTTCTTTTACTGGTATATGTTGGGCATGTCCTTTTAAAGATCTTTTAGTTTTAAAGTTCTTTCATAGTTAGTTGATACATAATATATATAATCATTTGTACTTGGTAAAATTAAACACAGTGCATATTGTATTTTAAAGCTTTAACTTTTGTTTTTTTTAAAACAAACTTTCAGCTAGTATGTTCAACACTCCAGGAATGCAGAGCTTGTTGCAACAAATAACTGAAAACCCACAACTTATGCAAAACATGTTGTCTGCCCCCTACATGAGAAGCATGATGCAGTCACTAAGCCAGAATCCTGACCTTGCTGCACAGGTGAGTTTGTATTTGCATTGAAAAGGACTGTGCAATGTGAACCTAATCTAGTAATTGTGATTTTGGCACATTTGTGTTGTGTATGATATCTTAATGTACTAGAAAAGTAAGTAAACTGTGTCTCCAATTTTTTTAGACCATGTGTTTCTTTGTAGTAATTAAATACTTCATATATAATTAAAACAACTTTATCTCTGTCATTCATTGACTAGAAAGAGGTATAGGTTTACTTTGTTTCTACATATGTTGAGTTAGGAGACAAGTACAAAGTGCTGTAATGCCCTCTCTTTTGAAGATACACTATTTAATGAAATGTTAATCTTGAAAGCAAGTAATAGCAGTGTTAATACATTTGAAATAGTTTTATTTAGTAGATCACTAAGATTATAATAGTCATGCTCAAAATGGCAGTTGTAAAATAGCAGGAAGTCTTTATTAAAGATGGGAATTTGTCAAAACAATGTTCTCATTCTTTCAACTATTGATTCCCCTGCTGAAGATAGTATGCTTATCCCTTATTAATGTATTCCTTTTTCTAATTTGTTTCTAAAGAGACTAAAACTAAGAAAATTAGGGGATCTCAAAGTTTGCTGAACTTTCAGGAACACTTGGGAAGCTTTACAGACAGTTCTGATGCTTTGGCCCCATCCTTAGAGATTTTGATATAATTGCATCTGAAAACCCCTTCCCCCTCAAGTTCCCTAGGTACTGTCTAGGTTCCATACCATAGGGCTTAAGAAACCACGGAGAATGAAATAAACCTTGATCATCTGTAGTTTATATTTGCTGTTTATTAGAAACAACTGCTGTAGTGTGTCAGGAATTTGAAACACTTTATAGTTAATCCCATTCCTTAAATTTTAAAAGTTTTAAGTCAAATGAATGGTTTTTATTTTCTAAATTCTAGAAGTATATTGATTCAAGTATCTTCGATGTATAATTCTCAGCCCTCACCAAATTTGTGGAATTGGAAATAATACATTTTAAGAAGAATTTTTGTGTCTTTGATTTTGTTTATTGGAGGTACATTTTATGGAAAATTGATTTATTCATATGAAACTTATCAGACTGAGTTGTTAATGGCTTAGTTTACTGTAATAGCCATTTTAAGTGTGTATTTGGCTAATACTGAATGTGCATCGTACTTTTAAAATTTGACTTTAACAAGCACATGCCTAGCAATTTTTAATAATATTATAGTAGTAAAGTGACTTGAGCACTCACATACTGTTTTTTTTACTCTAAAGCAAAATGCTGCTAATACTAGATTGGCATGTCTTATTACACATAATTTAGAAAACTATTACAACGTTCTTATTATCAACAGATTAAAATGTGTGGTTTTTCTATTTTGAGTTTTAAATATTTACAAAGAGTCTGGAGTGTAAACTTGTGGTATAAGCACTCAGGTAAGTTATAAGAAATACCCTAATGAATGAGATGATCATCTGCGAATGAATACATTTAAGATGACATGCTTTTTTAAGATTAAATAAAGTAACTCCCAAAAGATATGTGTGATAACCTTGTTAATATGTTTGTAATAAAGAAGTATTTAACTGGAACCACTACAGAAGCGGGTTTCTTGACCTTAAGCAGGTATTACTTTCTGTGAACTTATTGGTCATTTTGAAATAAATATGTATGTTCCTGCAAGGTCATCTGACTTCTCCTTTGGTTATTATATTAAAATTAACTAAAAGATCCACTTTGCAAGAATTGGGGCAAATTTTCTCTACCAGCATTTACATTGGTCTTAAATACGGTTAACTACTTGAGGGTGAGGATCATTTCCTCCCCAGACTTTGGATAGGTAAATAGGCTATCAGTAAATCCTTGCTAGTTGACTTTTTACTCTGGGGAAAATGATATAAAGTGTGTCTTTTGACGCTATGAGAATTTATTAGTTTCTGGTTATGCTGATTGTGTATTTTAATCTTATTTTCAGGTATATGACATCATACTAATACTGATTCTGATTTTTAAATTCTAAACATTTATTTGAAGGTTAGGAGATGCCACTTTTCTCATCTCTGGTGGTAGTGAGGTGAAATCCAGATGCTAATCTTGGTGTTCTCAAATGGATTTACATCTTTTAGGTCTTAAATTATTTTAATACTTTCCCCAGAGGACTGTTGGTGCTAGGCCTGGCTGATTTTCACCTAGCAGCTCCATTTCTCTGGCAAGTTGGTTGCTGTTTTGTGGTGTTATTTTTTTGGACCTAATATTAGCAGTTTTGTAGTAGGCAGGTAGATGTAGTGGTCCTTTTCAGATCTGGATTTTCTCGTGCTTGCCACTTGTGTGTTGAGGTTTCTAAGCAAGCCATGTTACATAGTTTCATGTATTGATGTTTATGTTTATTCTGTCAGTGTAGTAGAAAATATATCTTCATGAATGCCAGTTACTCTCATTTTTCTTTCAATGGCAAGTATTGACCTTTGTTCAAGGAAAAGCCTAAGAAAATGATTGCTTTTATTTTTTAGGATATTGCATGTCATTACCATAACCACCATTCTCATTGAGAGAGAAGATGCATCGCTTTTGTTTTTGTTGTTCTGGAGATCCCTCTTGTGGACAGTATCTTCCCTTTTCCTTTTTTATTTATGTTCTACCTTCCTCCCTTTTAAGTGCCAGTTTAGGCACTTGGGGGAAGGTAGAATAAAACAAGGTACATTACTTGTTTCAGATATTTCCAGTAAAAATTGTTTGAACACTTGCCCCATAGATGATGCTGAATAATCCCCTATTTGCTGGAAATCCTCAGCTTCAAGAACAAATGAGACAACAGCTCCCAACTTTCCTCCAACAAGTGAGTAAGACAAGATGTTAGCTATCTTGGGTAATGATTTGCTTGAAAAAATTTGATGATGAACATTTTCCTTGTTCTTCTCTGGCTGATAGCAAAACATGGAATAGAGACTGATAATGCTGTCAATTCGTAGAGAATTCAGCTTGATCTTAACAGAGTCCCATTTCACTGCTGACTTTTTGCTTATGTTTCTCAAACATAAATTCTGAGGAAAGAACCATTTCGTTTTTGCTTTTGAGGACCTAGGATTTTGAATGCTTTGTTAATACCATAAACCATTTCCTTTCACTGTACTAACTTTGAAGTGCTTCCTTGTGTCATGTTACGCTTTATGGTTTAACTAATTTTGAGTAACAGGAAAGAGCTACCCTATTCTATTTTACAGGTTGTTTTCTTCCAAATTAATAGAATGCTTTTTTTCCCCAAGGGGTAGATCTCATTTCCTCAAACTCGGGATTAGTGATTAAAATGGTCAGTGTTGTCATATAAGGAAGGTTATGTTATAAACAAGTACTTGAGATTGGCCATGGTATTTTATTATTTAAAACGATAAAAGAGAAGTCAGTCTTGGTGTTTTGAAACTGGTAGTTCTGGGGCTTTATATATTTTGTAGTGACTCTCAGGCTTGTAAACCATTTTCCAAGGTTAGTTGGTATCCTTGATCTATTGTAATGATGTAAGCCTATCTTTGGTTAGTCAGGTGGTGTATATTTGGAAGTAGTAAAGCTAAATTCAGGATACATGTATTGTCAAATTTGGAACTGTTGTTTTAGAGTGTACCTTACTGGTAAAATTGTTAAATTAGTAACAGGTAACACTTGGTTAGGTGGAATATGTGGCTTTCACCATATTACCATGTTGTAAGAATTGTGTATTTGGAGGTTGTCTTTTAGAAATAATACTTTATCTTCTATTGGAGAAGGGGAATAGTTGTGGCTTCCAGAGTAGCTTTTGATTGTCTTCCATTATGAAAATGGCTTTCATGATGGACTTAGGAGGAGGTCAAGTAAAGATTTTCATACTAGGTTTGCTGTCAAAGAGGAGATACTTGTGTTTATTTGGGGACAGAAATACCAATGTCTAGGAGTAAGGTTTTAGATTTTCTCCGGAAGCATAACAAAGATTGTAAAACTTACTTTCACTGATTTTAATTCCTTTGTAACCACTAGTTTTTTTTCTTTCTTAGATGCAGAATCCTGATACACTATCAGCAATGTCAAACCCTAGAGCAATGCAGGCCTTGTTACAGATTCAGCAGGGTTTACAGACTTTAGCAACGGAAGCCCCGGGCCTTATTCCAGGGTAGGCTTATTTGGGGAAGATAATTAAGGTGCATAATGGTTACTTTCTCTGAGAATTTCAGTGTTAGTATTATGCTGCCTGCCTTGTGTTTTTTTTTTTGTTGTTGTTGTTTTTTGAGACAGGGTGTTGCCCAGTCACCTAGGCTGTGAGTGTGATAGTGCAGTTGTGGCTCACTGCAGCCTCAACTTCCCAGGCTCTAGGGATTCTCTCACCCAGCCTCCCTCCAGGTGCACATCACCACACCCAGCTCACACACACACACACACACACACACACACACACACACACACGTTTTTAGAGACAAGGTTTTGTTGCCCAGGCTGGTCTCAAACCAGGAGCCATGGCTTCCCAAGGTGGGATTACAGGCATGAGCCACGGCATCTGGCTTTTTTAAAATTATTATTATAGAGATGGGCTTTTGCTCTTTTACCCTGGCTGAACTTGAACTTCTAGGCTCAGGCGATCCTCTCACCTTAGCCTCCCCAGTAGCTGGGACACAGTGCCAAGCTATGATTGTTTTTAAGTCAGGGTTTTTAAAGTTAAAAACGATTATTATATTTTAAATTCGTAAGATAGAGCCTTACTCTGTTGCCCAGACTGGAGTGCAGTGTCACAGTCTCAGCTTACTTCAGCCTCCCCCTCCTGGATGCAAGCCTACCTCATACCTCATCCTGCCAAATAACTGATACTACAGGTGTGCACCACCACACCCAGCTAATTTTGTTTCTATTTTTTGAAGAGATGAGGTCTCACTGTGTTACCTGAGCTGATCTCACGTTGCTGGGCTGCTGGGATCATTGGTCTTCCAAAATGAGCCACTGCACCAGGCCGAGAAGGCTTATTTTAAAAAGATAACTTAGCTTATATTATATTAAAATGTAACTGATTTACTGACTGGGCTTTGGTTTTGCAAGACCTTAGGTTATTTCCTATTTGTTCTTTCTCTAGGTTTACTCCTGGCTTGGGAGCATTAGGAGGCACTGGAAGCTCTTCAGGAACCAATGGCTCTAATGCTGCACCTAGTGAAAACACAAGCCCCACAGCAGGAACCACTGAACCTGGACATCAGCAGTTTATTCAACAGATGCTACAGGCTCTTGCTGGAGTAAATCCTCAGGTATCAGCTCTTTTCCCTTCAAGTTTTATATTCCTTAATGTTAGAAATTTAGAAATTTCCAAAAAGAAGGAAAAGGGAAAAAAGGAAAGCAGTAGTTCTTAGGTGTTTAGATTAATGAACAATACAGTCTTAAGGGTATTGAATAAGAAACAAGCATTACAAAAATTGTTGACTTTGGTGCTATGTAAGACACTAAAGGAAACATTGTTATGGCTGTAGGAAAGACAGGCTGCAACCTAAAGTCTTAATTTTTAGGAATTTCCTTTAAAAATGCCTTTTCTGTATGTGGAGTTCCTATTTGAAAATCATTTGAAATAGGTTTTGCTTTAAAAAAGTTCTTGGGGAGGAATGGAAACTTGATCATGCCAAGTACCTCCAGGAAAACTGTATTCTAGTCTTTTGACTGGAAAAAAGTCCTAACTACCTTACACCACCCATCAAACCACCTCCTTCAGTAGGTTGTGTTGCATATATATGTCTTGCAAATATGGCTAAAGAATATGGACTCCTAATAATGTGTTTGCATCTACAAACATTTATTGGCTTTACTAATAATGTGCCATTATATAAAGATGATTGCCAGTTCAAACCTATTTTATTAGGTTGTCCCCAAATTTCTTAATGTTTAAAGGTCTGTTAGGTGCTTTCTGTTCTTTTTTCTTTTCTTTCCTTTCCCCTTTCCCTTTCCCCTTTCCCCTTTCTCTTTCCCCTTTCCCTTTTCCCTTTCCCCTTTTCCCCTTACCTTGTCCCCTTCCCCTTCCCCTTTCCTCTTTTCCCTCCCCTTTCCCCTTTCTCCATCCTCTTCCCCCTTCCCTTTTCCCTTTCCCCTTTCCTTTCGTTGCCTTTCCTTCTTCCTTTTTTTTCTTTCCCTTTCCCTTTTGACAGAGTCTAAGGCTGGGTGCAATCACAGCTCACAGCAACCTCCATGTCCTGGGCTCCTGCAGTCCTCCCACTTTTGTATTTTTTGTAGAGATGGGGTTTCGCCATGTTGCCCAGGTTGGTCTCAAACTCCTGAGCTCAAGCGATCCCACCTGCCCTGGCCTCTCAAAGTGCTGGGATTACAGACATGAGCCACTGTGCCTGGCCTGCTTTCTGTTTTCAAGGCTTAATATAATAAACAGGGTGGGGTCTGTTTCATGCTTGTTTGTATTCCTGATACCTAGCATACCCTAGTTTCTGGCTCATGGTAGGTACTCAGTAAATATTCATAGAATAAATAAGAAAACAGGATTTGGGGTATTAGAATCAATTGTTGTATAAGTTAACTTACAAGCCTCCAAATCAGTAGGACTGCTAGGACTGATTGGTCATTTATGTGGGTTTTTTTTTTTTTTTTAACTTCATTTCTGAAGAAAAAAGATATGATGCTGCTGAATTGTCAGAATTAAGAGTGTAATTTTGGGCCTGAAACTGAAGCTCTTTTCTAAGAATTGGCCAGTGCAGAAGTTAAACTCACATTCATTCGAACAATCATTGAAGCTTTAGAATTTTATGCATGAGGATATTGGCTTCTGTAGTTACTCAATTGGTCAGTAGCTACGCATATCATCTAATTCTGAACTATTTGTATATATACTTTAAAGTTTTTCTGCATGTACGTGATACTGTAAAATAATGGTTGATGTTTATTAAGATTTTTTCCTCCCCAAAGTAGAGTTGTTGATCTATTTGACATGTATTTAGGTATAAAGTAGACTATTTAAAATGTTAATGGACTTTTAAGTATGTTGGATATATTTCAAGAAGCAGGCAGTGTTTTTAAAGCTCAGTAGATCAGCATGTTTTATTTAAAAAAAGCAATTAAAAATTTAAAAAGTCAGTCAGGTGTGACATGGACTGGTTTCCTTTAGAGTTGGATTATTATTATTTTTTCCTTTAATAGCTACAGAATCCAGAAGTCAGATTTCAGCAACAACTGGAACAGCTCAGTGCAATGGGATTTTTGAACCGTGAAGCAAACTTGCAAGCTCTAATAGCAACAGGAGGTGATATCAATGCAGCTATTGAAAGGTTACTGGGCTCCCAGCCATCATAGCAGCATTTCTGTATCTTGAAAAAAATGTAATTTATTTTTGATAACGGCTCTTATAACTTTAAAATACCTGCTTTATTTCATTTTGACTCTTGGAATTCTGTGCTGTTTAAACAAACCCAATATGATGCATTTTAAGGTGGAGTACAGTAAGATGAGTGGGTTTTTCTGTATTTTTCTTTTCTGGAAAAGTGGGAATCAGTGCTTTTCATTTAAGGCTACTGCATGCATCACTTCTGCATTTATTGTAATTTTTTAAAAACATCACCTTTTATAGTTGGGTGACCAGATTTCGTCCTGCATCTGTCCAGTTTATTTGCTTTTTAAACATTAGCCTATGGTAGTAATTTATGTAGAATAAAAGCATTAAAAAGAAGCAAATCATTTGCACTCTATAATTTGTGGTACAATATTGCTTATTGTGACTTTGGCATGCATTTTTGCAAACAAAATGCTGTAAGATTTATACTACTGATAATTTTGCTTTATTTGTATACAGTATAGAGTATGCACATTTTGGACTGCATTTCTAGAAACATAGTGCAATAGGCTATCTGAGCAAAACACCTGTAACCAAAAAAGTGAAGATAAGAAAATACTCTTAAAGCTGAGTTATTTCCTAATTGTATAGAGTCTTACAGCATCTTTGACAAACATCTCCCAGCAAAAGTGCCGGTTAGTCAGGTTTGTTGAGAATATAGTAGAAAAGTTGATTCTGGTTATCTCTTTAAGGACATTTAATTGTACAGACAACATAATGTAACATTGTCTCAACATTCATTCACAGATTGATTGTAAATTACCTTAATCTATGTGCGGACTGAAGGAACACTGTAGTATACCCCAAAATACATTTGCCTAGGACTTTTCAGCTTCTCCCATAGGTAGTTTAACAGGCATTAAAATTTGTAATTGAAATGTTGCTTTCACTGAAAGTGTCTTGATGTTTCAGTTATTTTTAATCGCCATATAAAGATAGAACTATCTTTTGGGTTTATATGTTTTCTCATGCACAGGCAATACACAAATTTAAAATGAGTTGTGAGCCAATTGTTTCTGAAGTGTTTTGGTAGTTCTATTAAGAAATAGTTAAATATTGTGCTTTTCAGAGCCACAGAGAAAGGGGAATGGGGTGGGGGGCAGCGGAATCTATCCTGGATTGGGCCAGCTTAAATAATACTGGCAACCAAGATTCTGTTAGGATTTCTGTGCATATAGTGTAGTAAAGAAGTATCATTCAGGGTGAAAAACAAAGAGCCGTTTTAACGATGTTGAGTACATTTGGCTGTTTTATAGCCTTTTTCTTCCCTCCCCAAAGAAGTTGTTTGCCTAGCTCCCAAACTGTTGGGGTGGTACATTCCTTTAGGACCAATTAAAACATAATTTAGGGTCAGTAATACATTTGGCTGGCTCTGGTTCAGTATTCTCTTAGGTGATTATATTCTCTCATGTACAGTTACAGGAAATTAAAATGTTAAAGTAACCTAAAATGAATTCAGACCAATAAAATCAAGGGAAATACAAGTTGATTCCATTACTTCTGTCAGTTGCCTGCTATTAAAAAATGGTTAAGAGGCCAGGTTATACCCATCAGTCCATGCACTGTTCTGACACTTTCCCCAGGAGGAAAACATGTACAAAGGTTACGGTGGAGGCATGAGTAGAGGAGATTGTTAAGAACAGTATTCGTGTGTATTTGCTCTTTCTGCTTTATGCCTCAGTCTGATTTTAAAACTTTTGTACTGGTGAATGGTGGTATTCAGTGTGGGATAGTGTCATAACTAATTTGACAATTTATTAATCACAAAATAACAATAAATCTCTAGCTTTTACACTTGATTTGTCTTGCCTCTTTTGTAGAAAGAAAAAAATGTCTATCTTTTGCTAACCATGTGTTTTAAAGGCTATTGGAGTTGATTTACCCCAGATTTTGTCATATTTTACATTCTTTATTTTTCAAGTTTTCCAATTAAATGTCACACATGGTCTTTTGTGGTGTGATAAAAAGAGCACACTGGGAAGGTAGGTGACTTGAGCTCTACTTTTGATCTTGGTACTTGACTAGTTATTTGACATTGAATGAGGCATCATGATTTCTTTATTATTACATGTGGTGAGGCTTATAGGGTATGCTGGACTGGCTGATAAGCTCTAAATTACCTTTAAGGTGCTGCAGTGGTATGGTTTTTGTTTTTAATATATTTATCTTTGGGTCTAAGTCTAAAGATAAATATCTACATCTTAAGGGGTTCAAAATACTTAATTCTTATCAGCACTAAAAGGATGTTTAAAATACTGTAGGCTTAAATTGTTCTCATATTGAATGATAGTATTTAGTACAAATTGAATAAAGAATGGAGTAGTGAAAATATAATTTTGGGATTTTATTTCCCAATTATAACATTTGTGATATCCTAAACAAAGTATAGCAAATACTGAAAAATCAGGTAAATGATACCTGGCCTCTGTGTGTGTTTAGAATCTTGAGTTTTAGAGTTGTTTTAAATATAACAAAAAGAGTCTTTTATTCTTAATATATTAATAGGCATATCACAACAAAATGTAACAATGGATAACGGTATGCTGGTGACAAAAGTGAAGCTAAGCTGTGTGTGTAATGACATACACATGTATAACAAGGTGTGATTCATACAGGGAAATACGCATATTGTACTTCTCTTAAGAGATTGATACTAAACATATTACAGTCAACAGGAAGTCTTACCTTAAAGAAGTCTATTTAAAGTTTTATCCAGCTTTTTCCAGTCTCACTAGACCATCTCTTTACTTGACTGTTCTTTAAGGTGATGCTGTATGCAATGAACACACTTTGGGAAAAGCTGTATTTAGTATATCTACCCTTCTCTGGTGTTTCACATGGTATTTATCTACTTTGGCTCATATAAAGCCTGCCATTCGTGCTGGGCTCAGTTCTGAAGATGTCCTAAACTTTGCTGATCCAGTGTTTGGTTAACTGTTAACTGTTCATGCTTACCCTTTACTGTCAATTGCTGCATTTTGTGCCTTTCACTCACCTAGTAGCAGTTTTTTTTGTTTTATTTTTCTGCTTTAAAATTGTCTCGGCAGTTAACCTAAGTAACATCAGTTGTTCCTTGTATCTTTTCCCATAGGCAACTATTGGAAAGTCAAATTATTGAACATTTACTGAGTGCCAGGTTCTTTTCTAATTGCTCAGAGTATAGCAGCAAGTAAAACAAGATTCTGTCCACATGGGGCTTACATAGTATATAAGAGACAGCAAGTAAAATACAGATTGCCTGCCAGGTAATCAGTGCTTTGGTGAAAAATTCTGCATAGTAAGGAGACTAGGTCAGGAAGGTGGTGTTCTTATTTTATATAAGGTAGTCAGAGAAAGCCTCAGCTCATTGAGGAAGTGACATTTGAACAGATACTTGTGTATCTGGAGGGGTGAACAACTTTTCCAGGAAGAATAACAACTAATGAAAAGGCCCTGAAATACTGTTCTGAATATATGTCAACCTAAAGGGAAGAAGCTGAGGCACAAAATACAATTTTAAAACAGTTTACTTGAGCCAAAGTGAGAACAGCTGCCAGGGACCCACTTTAAGTGGCCTCTGGAAATGCTCTGTTTGGTACAAGCAGGTTTTAAAGGCAAAGGGGAACAAGGAGTAGGCTGATAGAAAGTTTTGACAGGTATTCTCGTTGGTTACAGAAATAACATTAATTAGCCATTGGCTGTACACTGTTGAACATAGGGTATAAGTTATGGTGTCTACTATATGACATTTTATAGCTACTTGTCAGTCCAGAGCCCACATAGTAAGTTGCTTCAAGAGGTAATTATTTAGCTCAAGGGAATGAGACATGACTGATGTCACATTTTAAATGCCTCTCTGAGATAATTTAAAGGGGTTTGCATTTCTCAGGTAAAAACTTTGGTTTCTTTCTCAGCATGTTTGTAGAACACAAGGAATCCAGTATGGCTTGGGCAAGATGAACTAGCAGGGAAAAGCAGGGTAGGAAGTAAGAGAGGTGGGGTGGTTCAGGTGTTTGACGAGGTAATACACAAGTTTTATGAGCCATCCTGACTTTGATGAATAGTTCTGGGGTTGGGGAAGAATCTGCATTTCTAACAAGTTCCTAGGTGAGGACCACTGCACTAGAGGAACCAGGGTGAAAGAAGGAAGCTGTTTAGGAGGTTATAATCTAGTGAGAGATCTTAAGGACTTGGACTGGGCTGGTAGCACTGGAGGTAGTAAGAAGTTGGATTTGAGGTATGTTTTGAAGGTAGAGTCTGTATATGTATTAGAGGTGTGAAGTTTAGAGCAAGGCAAACAAGGTAGAACATGAGAAAAGGAGTATCAGGATTTTGCTGTTGACAAGTTGAATACGCTTGAAATGGAACATTTAAATGAAGATGTTGAGGCAAGTGGAGGAGCTGCAAAGGAAAGGAACAGATAGATAGGTCATAAGGTGAGAGCTAAGAGAGGTCCTGAAAGTGGGTAAGGCTCAATATACTGCTGCCTCAAGCTTTCATCATGGATTGTTAACCCTTTGCATTTAGTAAAGGAGGGACCCTCATGACTATGATTAGTAGTTTAGCGTGTTGGGGTAAAATTGTGGTTAGAGTGGACTGGCAGGAGGCACAGTTTGGAAGGAAAGAGAGACAAACGGGGCCGTAGCTGTGGGGAGGGTGCTGTGGTGGTGGTGGTGTTGGCGGCGGCGGTAGTGGTGGTGGTGGTGGTGTAGGTGTAGAAATTTGCCTTTTTTTTTTTAATGGAAACTACCACATGTTTTTATTTTGATTATAATGACTAGTGTGTGGGGCATAGGGGAGGGGACTTGCCCAGTTAATTGTTTTCTACCAAAATTTACAGAGAGAAAGGAGTTATTGCTAGCTTTTGATTTCCAGAAGAGGTTTAAAAAAATAAAGTCAGCACCTTTGTTACATGGGTTGAGGTGTGAGGGAGAGGGTTTGTCTTTCCAGCCATCATTTGCCTCAGCTGGGTCTGCCTTTTCTTGCTAGTAGATGGAGCACCTGTCCAGCACATCTGAACCCCACTTCATGGTCAGTTCATTCTGAAGTAGAGGAAAAGTGCCCCTCCCAGCATTTTTTGCTTGGGAAAGACCTCATAGAACAAAATTGAGGTTTCCTCTAAGCTCAGACAGTGGTGAAGCACACCTCATTTTGTAATTCCAGCCTAGGCCTGGTAATACATTTCTGACTTCCTAATCGACTGTCTTGCTTACCACTTTGTACTTAGAACAAGGCTAGAAACATGTAGGATCTCAGTAGTTTCCCTCAAAGATCACGCTGAGTGTGGGAGCCTAATTCTTTAATGGGATATATAGTAGTCACTTGTGTATTCAAGTCAGATTTTTTAAAAAGGGCATTTCAGACACATTTTCTATTTATATTTAACAGAGAGGGGAGGGAATTTCCACTGTGTTATGGTTCTCTAATGCTTTATGACAAACTTCACCACAGCTTGGTGGCTTTGAGCAGAATCATTTTGTTAATGAGTGAACAATTTTGGCAGTGTTTGGTGAATACAGCTGGACCAACTTGACTAGGTCTGGAGAATTTACTTTGAAGAGGGTTTGTTATGCACATGGGTGTTAAATTAGTGCATGCTTTTATCTGGGAGTGCACTCAGGGTCTCAGTTTCTCTCCACATGGGCCTTCTCATAGGGCTGCTGTGCTTCCTTACCAACATGGCTGGTGGATTTCAAAAGTAAGTATTTTAAGCAAAATGAAAAGTGCTTTTTTTTTTTTTTTTTCTTAAAGTTCTGGGCCCCAAACTCGCCCAGTGTCACATCTCCAGTATTCTATTGGCCAAGCAATCTTAGCCTGCCCAAATTTAAGGGGAGGGGTCAAAGAACCCACTGCTTATTGGGAAGAATGTCAGATAATTTGTGACCTTCTTAATCTATCACACACTACAATCCCAGAAGGAGGAAAATGTTGGAGGAGTAAACATTTCTTCTCCACTCTTCTTCCCTTTCTAAGGGAAGAAGTGACATGGCTGCTTGGTGAATAGTGTAGAAGGAACTAACCATAACTATGAACCCTTTTGGGAAACTGTCCAAAGGGAAGCAGGCATGCTAGTGGCACTAGCATGCCACAAGGTTATTGAGATAGGCTTGACCCCTGTGGGTGTTTTATTTTTTCTTTTCTTTTCTAACTGTGGTGAAGTATACATACCATGAAATTTACCATTGTAACCATTTTAAAGGGTACAATTCAATGGCTGTTTCCTATAACTAGAATCATTCAATATATGGCCTTTTGTGCCTGGCTTCTTTGACTTACGTTTTCAAAGTGCATCCATTTTGTACTGTGTAATCTCATTCCTTTTTATGGCTGAATAATCCACTGTATGTTTATGCCACGTTTTATTCATCTGTTGATGTACACTTTTTATCATTTGTCTGTTGTGAACAATGTTGTAATGAATTTTGACCTACAAGTTTGAGTTACTGTTTTCAGTTTGTGAACCCCCAAAATCTGAGACAGGTCTCAATTGAGAGCTTATTTTGCCACAGTTGAGGATGCATGCCCCGTGACACAGCCCCAGGAGGTCCTGACAACATGTGCCTAAGGTGGTTGGGGCACACCTTAGTTTTATCCATTTTAGGGAGACACGAGACATCAATCATTACATGTAAGATGTATGTTGGTTCAGTCCAGAAAGGTGGGACAACTCAAGCAGGGAGAGAGCTTCCAGGTCACAAGGAGGTGAGAGACAAATGGTTGCATTCTTTTGAGTGTCTGATTAGCCTTTCCAAAGGCAATCAGATATGCATTTATCTCAGTGACCCAAAAGGTTGACTTTGAATAGAATGGGAGGTGGGTT